GGTGTGCGGGCACAGCCCCCAGCGGCCCCCCCCCCCCCTCCCCGCGGGGCCATATGGAAAATGTGCAGCCTTTTGATTCCGCCTTGTGTAAACATTTGAATATCGGCTCCTTAAAGCCCCGAGCCTGTCCCAGAGGGGATTAAAACATAATCCTCTCGCTCTATAGCCGGAGTGGATTAATTTCGTATTCTCTCAGCGGCGGGTTCGCTCCCCGAAGGCTCCGACAAAAAGAGACTCCGCGCTCCTTAAACGCGCTGTGGAATTGGAGGTTGTAATTGGAGATTTCCAGCGGACAAGTGTAAAAATGACACGCGGTTAAACCTGGAGAGTGCGTGGGGGCAAGCCCGGGAGATGCTTGCAGAAAGCCCTAGATCTCACACACCCACACCCCCCTGCAGAAGGCCCGGGGTCACAAATACACATACACACACACCCACACCTGCAGAAAGCCTGAGATGTCCCTCTGACGCGCGCGCACACCCTGCAGAAAGCTCGCTCTCTCTCTCTCAGACACACTGCAAAAAGTCTGAGATGTCCCCCTGACACACACACGGAAACACACATATACACACATCTGCAGAAAGCCTTAAGTCTCCCCCTCCCCGACACACCTACACACGGACGCGCACACACGTGTACAAAGCCTGAGATCTCTCTCTTACACACACACACACACACACACACACACACACACACACGCCCCAGAGGAACTAAGCTGAGTCCCACACCCCGCTCTTGCTCTCTTTCGAAGGCAGGAGCAAAGCCGAGCCACCGCGCGGGGCTGGGAACTGAAGGCCCCTCGGCAGGCCTCGGGCTCCCGGCGCCTTTCAGCCCTTCCAGGCGGGCGGGCCACTCGGACCCGCGGCGGGTCTGGGGTCTTGTTTGAGGCACTTGCCGCGGCGGTGAGAGCGGCCGCGCCTGCCGCCGCTCCACTCGGTTTCAGCCCCGCGGTGTGCGTGCACGGCCGCACCCGGCCGCCGACGTGCTGGGTGCGATCAGCCCCTCTCCTCGCAGCAGATTTCTTGTTATGGGCTTTGGCCTCTTGACCGGGAAGCGCCCGCAACTCGGCGCTTTATTTTTTTGTTAATTATTGCTTGATCCGCAGAGCAGCGGGGTAATTGGATTAAATTGATGATCTTCCTTCGGGGACGCGGCGAGGCCCACAAACGACGGAGTAGCGGGCGGGCCCCGCCGGCGGCCGGCACAAAGGGCCGGGCGGCCCCGCGCTGCGGGAAGGGTGACGGGCGAGGTGGGGACGGTCTGGTGAAGAGGGCAAGTGGCTGCGCGGGGCAGGAGCCGCTGTCAGAGCCGGGCCGCCCTCTGTAAACACAAAGGAGAGGGGCCTGGGGAATAGAAACCCAAATCCACTTGTAATCGTACAAGAGAATCGGGCGTAATTACTTGAGCAACCCAGATGAAGATTGATGAGCCTTTAAAGCGGCGTTTCGGATCGATCCCCCGGCCCTGTGCGGGGAGAGGGGCGGCGAGGGGCAGAGGCCAGGCTCGCGGCCCGGGAGGGGGAGCGGGAGCGGGGGGAAGATGGAGGCTGAAGCGGGGAGCGGAGCAAGAAAGCAGACACTGGGCATGTGATGGGGATCAGCTGACCGGGGTCAAGAGGCCGCGCGGGTTTATTAGGAGCTGGAAAACAATAACACGGAGGGAAATAGAGTTTGTAGCGAGTCCGTCCTGCCAGGCCGCCCGCCCCGTCCCGCCCGCGCTGGCCGCGAGGTGCGGCGTGCGGCGTGCCGGACGCGGGAAGGGCAGGGCCCGAGGCTGCGGGCCGGGGCAGCCCAGGCCGCGCTCCTCCCCTCCCTCCTCCCCC